CAATTATCATGATTTATAGTATTTTTACGCAATTTTTAAATATAAAAAAAATTAAGACAAATAAATTAAAATGAGCGCAATATATGTTATTTTTGTTGTCTCAATTTATGTGACACAAATGAAATTTGAAGAGTCATCCAAATTTGCATTTAAAAAAAAATGTTCTAAGTTATTAATTATTGTGATTTATAATATTTTTATGTAACTTTCAAATAACTTACATTGCTGGTCACTTTGTCCTAATTTATGTGATATGGATAAACTTACAAAATTAACCCTTTAAAAATGTTTTTCAGATATTTGAAGTTGTTAATTATTATTATTTATAATACTTTTTGGTAATTTTGAAATGATATATGTTATTTTTTCTGTCCCAATATATGTGACCCGGATAGAATTTTGAGAGTCAACCTATTTTATTATATATCTTTTAAATATTAAATATTTTAAGTCATTTGTAAATGATTTATTATATTATATTATATTATATATATATATATATATATTATATTTATTTCTACTATATAATAAAAGGGGTTTTATTATGATATTATATAATAGTAGAATATATATTATATAAACTCCCTTTTATTATATAGTAGAAATTACAATTACAAAATTAACCCTTTTAAAATGTCTTTAAGATATTTTAAGTTGTTAATTATTATTATTTATAATACTTTTTTGGTAATTTTAAAATGATATATGTTATTTTTTCTGTCCCAATATATGTGACCCGGATAGAATTTTGAGAGTGAACCTATTTTATTATATATCCTTTAAATATGAAATATTTTAAGTCATTTGTAAATGATTTATTATATTATATTATTATATATTATATAAACTCCCTTATAGTAGAAAAATAAATATATATTATATATTATATAGGGAGTTTATGATTGGACATCACAATGTCCCATCATAAACTCCTCTTATATAATAAGAGAATACATACACATTAACACACATACTACTACTACATATACTACAACGACAGCAACACAAAAGGCATAATATATAAACATGATCATTAATTTGGCGTTAGCTGATAACTATGACCTTTAACTTTGGGTGTGCACAAGTAGACACTTAAATTTGTATAAAATTGAACAAATAGATACATTCATCCTACATGGCACGCTACATGAAAAATTTATGTCCTACGTGGCGTCCTAAATGTAATATGTCAGGTAGAATACGTGTCTCTACTTGTTCAAGTTTATACAAATTTAAGTGTCTACTTGTGCACACTCAAAGTTGGAGGACATAGTTGTCCGTTGAAGCTAAGTTAAGGACCATGTTTATGTATTATGCCAACACAAAACGAAGAAACAAATCAGCAACCAAAAGCAACACACACTCGCAGAAAAAAAGAAAAGAAAAGACACTCTATTTTATATATTTTTCTTTCAAAAATCCACAAATACATTCACTTCTTTTCTTTCTTTTTCATTGCTTTCATATAAATACAACACATATACCACTACATACAATCTACAAAAGATTTGTGGGTGTTTAATCGAGTTCGGTTAAAATTTTGCGGTACTTATTCTCTTTATTTAAGGTTAAACTTTATCTTATTTCCTTAATTTATTCATGAAATTTGATGTAACTATGTGATATGTTTTCTTACACTTTTGTTTTATTCATAATTTGATTAAAATGAAAGAACATGTTAAGTGTTATATCTCTTTAATGAATGAAAATAGTGTTATTTTTATTTACTTATTTATTCATTAATTGTGATCTCTAAAAATTAACGGGTCATGACGTTATTATTTTCTTTATTTCGATGCTAATAATGATAAAGTAGGAAATTTTGGGCTCAAAAAACTATTGTTGTTTTATTTATCAAACAAAGAATGAGATTTATTTTAGCAATTCGTCATGATTTTGTTGGATTAATTAGAAATTACAATATGCGTATGCCTAATTTTGCCATTAACTTTAAGATTAAAATAAAAATATAATATGTGTAAGCCTAATTTTAAACATTAACTTTAAGAGTAAATAAAAATAAAACAATACAAAATCATCCAAAATTTTATATTGTATCCTAAAAGTTTAGATTTATCTTACTTTATTTGATTTTATTCATAAAGAACTAATATGTTCTTATAACAATAGATGAGTTTTAGGCAGGTTAAAGAACATTTGTTTCAACTAAGAATGTGGTTACACATTTTTTTTGAAACGCTTAAAAGAAATTCAAAGATGTGGTGACACACCTAGTCAAAATTATTCTAATAAATATTTTATTTTAAAAAAATCGAGATGTGAGACATGGAATATTAGGTGACACACTTGAGACAATAAAGTAGTTATGCTTCGAAATTATTAAATATCAAAACCAAGAATACGGTTATGCATCTAGGTTGAGACCAAATAAAAGTTCAATAAAAAGATGAGCAAACGTATAGCATATAAAATATATCCAAAAATAAAAAAGGTAAGTATAAGTCAATAAAAGCAACCGTGCTAGAACCACGGGACTCGACGGATGCCTAATACCTTCCCCTCGGTTAACAGAATTCCTTACCCGAAATTCTAGTTCGCAGACCGAAATTAAAGAGTCATTTCCTTTTAAAAACAAAAAGGTGACTTGAAACACCATAACTCAATTCCAAGTGACGACTCTGAAAAATAAAAATAATTCCTAAATCAATAACGTCACTTCAATTGGAAAAATCATTTCCGCCGTGCGCAAAAAAGGGGTGTGACACCTACTTTTGATTTTTAATTTATTTTTAGTCATTTTAAACTTATTTTAAGTTATTTTTAACCTTGCCAAACACTTTCTAACTTATTTTAAGTTATTTTTATATTTGTAAAACACTTCCAGAATTAAAACTAGCTTAAAAATAGATTTGACCAACTTTTAAATCAATCCAAACACCTTCTTAGTTCTTCCAATGCGGCTAGTTGTATTTCTTATAAGAGTACTAGATATAGGAGTCGGTGCTAGTACGAGCAAAATAAATGTTCGTTTAATTTATGTGATATAGATGAAATTTAAAGGGTCAAACAAGTTTTTTAATACAATTTTTAAGTATTTCAAATTGTTAATTATTGTGATTTATAATATTTTTTATGTTACTATTAAATAATATGTATTAATATTCATGTCTTAATTTTAGAGGCGCAGCTAGGTGGAGGTTCGTGGGTTCGGACGAACCCAATAGCTTTTCTGTAGACCCTGTATTTGTACTAGAAAATTAATTAAATATATATGTATATTAATTTGTGAACCCTAACAAAATTGATTGACGGTTCTAAAGGAAATTAAGAACCCTTAAACTCTTTATCCTAGCTACACCCCGGCTTAATTTATGTGACATCGATAGAATTTGAGAGTCAGCCAATTTTTTAAAATTTATTTTGTAAATGTTATAAGTTGTTAATTATTACTCCCTCCATCCAACAATAGGTGTCCACTATATTAAAAATAGTTGTCCAACGATACTTGTCATAATTAGAAAATTAAGAGATAATTTATCTTTAGTATCTATTTTAACCTTACTATTAATATTATTTATTATTTAACATATTTTTTAAAGTATTAAATTTAATAAAGTCAAAGGATAATAGTAATATTACCCTTATTATTTATTGTTTCTTAAGATGTGTGTCAAGTCAATAGTAGACAACTATTATTAGACAGGAAGAGTATGATCTGTAGTATTTTCTTACTTAACTTTAAATATATAAAAAATTAAAAGGAACAATAAGATAAGTAAATTAAAATTGAGATGATATAATGAGGTTTTTATGAGTTTACTTTAACAAGGGCTAACCCATCGGTGACCCCCTAAACTTGGCACCAACTTTCACTTGGACACCTCAACTGAAGGATTTTCATTTTAAACACTTCATGTCAAACCTCATTGTGTCATTTTGACACTTTTTATATTTTCAAAATCGCATTTTAAGTGCGTACATCCAGACGCCTTTTATGTGGAAAAATAAACGAATTGGTATGTGACACGTGGAAATTTTATTTTATTTTTAAAAATCTCAATTTTACTTTTTTTTTCTTTCTTTCATATCCCAAACCCATGCCCCCACCTCTTTTCTTCTTCTTCTTGCGCCTCCTTCCCCATCATCTGTTCTTCTCCATCAAAAAGGCAAGAACATAGGTTAGTTTACAAAGTAAAATACGTTTTGGAGAATAAGGGAAATCATACCAAATCGAAAAGTTTTTATATGACATTTAAAAGAAGATGATTTTTTGTGCTACTACAATTGGAATTTACAATAAAGGATATGTAAAATAAATTTCTCTTTTTTTCTTTGGAGGTTGTTCTTTATTTCTTTTTTTATTCCTTGAAATCAATTTAATTTTCAATGGAGAAGGTAAGAATGTAAATCAGTTTTTCCATTTGAAAGAAGTTGATTTATTTTTTTGTTCCCTTGAAATCGATTTTGTTTTTGAATATGAATCAAGATGCAAATTCGATTTTCAAAGAAGATGGAAAAATCAAAGAGTGTAACCTAGTAAAATATTGTAGAATTTTTTTAAAAAGTTGTGTGGTGATGGAGGATGGTAGAAGGTGGAGAAGATGGAAGGGAGAAAGCAAGGAAGAAGAAGGAGAAGAAAATATTTACAAAAAAATTCAGAATATTTACAAAAAAAAGTCTCTGACGCGCTCAAAATTCGTGTAGCACACGTACAATGCTTAGTCAGCAAAAAGTGTCAAAATGACACAACGAGACGCAACATGATGTGTTTAAAATGAAAATCCTTCAGTTGAGGTGTCTAAGTGAAAGATTGTGCCAAGTTTAGAGGGTCACCGATGGGTTAGTCCCTAAAACAACTATTGAAAAGAGGGTCCACATTAGCAAATCCTTGGCAGACATATATGCTCACACCAAAGTGATGTGTCAGTCTATTTTCCTCATAAAAATGGAGTGGCCCTAAAAGGATAAATTGTACAAATCAAGCCACTAAATGCTAAAAATACTTAAATTATGAAAATACCACCAGCAAGCAGGTTAATCGACATTCTTCTTTAGATCTAAAAAAGAAAAAAACTATAATTTGGAGGTTGTAAGTAGAAATATTTGTTACGAATCAGAAGAAAGATGGCATGCATTAACAAAGGATGGGAGGTTGTATGTAGAAAAATCAGTAGCTGTTTGAAAAGGAAAAAGGGGATCGAAAACAGAGACAAGAGCATAGCTGAAAGATGGGAGATTTTGAGTGGAAAAAATAACTGGGAAGGCTTACTTCACCCTTTGGATTATGATCTCCGACGATACCTCATTCACTATGGCCAAATGCCTCAAGCCATCTGCGACTCATTCAATAATGAGAAAGTTTCAAAATACAGAGGAACAAGTCGATACTCCAAAAAGAACCTCTTTACAAGGGTTGGGCTCCACAAATACAAATACAAATATGAAATCACCAAATATGTGTATGGAGCTTCAGATGTATCTGACAAGATGAAAGAATCAAATTGGATTGGGTTTGTTGCTGTTGCTACTGATGAGGGTAAAGTTGAATTTGGAAGGAGAGAAATTTTGATTGCTTGGAGAGGGACCATTACGCAATCAGAACACAACGAAGACGATAAATGGTCGTTAGTCCAACCAACAAAAATATTTGGTGAAAATACGGATAACATTCTTGTACACAAAGGTTTTTATTCAGTTTATACTTGTCTTAATGAAGCGTCAAATTTCAACAGGACAACCAGTGCTAGAGATCAGGTACGAAATTAGTAATTTTATGTAATTACTTTGGTTTCCAAGTGATTATAGTCTAATAATTCTTGAGGTACATACATTAAAACTGGCTGCAGGTTCTTGAAGAAGTTAAAAGGTTGTTGAAGCAATACAGTAAGGAGGAAATCAGCATCAGTGTTGCCGGGCAAAGCTTGGGTTCATCATTGGGCACACTATGCGCAATTGACATAGTTGTCAACCAAATCAATAAGGAGTTTCCAGTGAGTGCATTTTTACTTGGTTGCCCACGTGTTGGAGAGGCCAATTTCAAGAAAGCTTATAAAAACTTGAAAAACCTTCGTATCTTGCGGGTTACCAATGTCTCTGATCCCATTCCGAAGCTGATGGAGCGTGGACAGGTAGAGGGTTCTGCAACAGAATGGAGGGCGTATGAAGATGTTGGCTTCGAACTTGTAATTGATACTACAAAATCAGAATACTTGAAGAAAGACATATTTAGTCATACTCTGGAAGTTTATCTGCATGGAATTGCTGGAACACATGGACTAGAAGGAGAGTTTAAGCTGGAAATAAATCGAGATATTGCACTGGTGAATAAGAAAGGTGACTATTTGAAGGATGAATATGGTATACCAACTTCATGGTGGATCGAGAAGAATAAAGGAATGGTTCAACAAGAAGATGGATCTTGGATACTCATCGATCATGAAACTTGATTTCTCTAAAATTATTCAGCTAATAGTTATATTATATTAGAAAGTTACTTTCAAGAAAATTGAAAAAAATAACTTTTTAAGATAATAACTATTTGGTGAAGGATCGTATTGAGAAAACAACGATGGATCATGAGGATGAGCATATGTTTTATTGAATAAAATGTACGTGCATTATTTTCATATTAAATAAATGGGTTTTAGATTGATTGACTGATGTCAAATTATTTTCATCTTCCACCTCATGTAACAAGGATATATAGGTCTGTCTATCCTTGTTTTGTATTGTGTATGTAAGTGAGTTGTTTGCATAGAATGTTAAGTAAAGTGGATGCCTTTGATTAATTAAGATGTACTTTTCCATCTTCCTTTTATTTATCTATGATAAGTTTTCTCCCCTTAAAATCAAAAGCCACCATATTCCGACTGTGATTAGTGATGCCACAAAATGGGAGCTGATCTTTTTTTTCCAGTCGAAAGCAGCGATGTTGGTGTCGAATTAGCCATGGACGACACTCGGAAATCGGGCTATGTTTGTCAATAATTGTCATATAATTAAAATTATATGTACTCTTGTTATGTTTTAAGCCTTATGATGATATTGAAATAGAACAAAGTAAATATCTTATCATTCATTTATAAAATCAATCAATTATTACAAGGTTATAGAAAAGGAGCTTTAGTTTCTTTTGTGGAACAGGATGACCATACAACTTTTAATTTTCTTTTATGTGTGGGGATCCAACAGCTAGAAACATTTGCAGTGTATGCAAGTTGGGACGGATTGCATCGCCACAGCTCTTTCCCAAGGCACTTTCACTAAAATTGTCACGTCTTAATCAAAGCATCACAACTACTCCTTTTATCCTTAATTACTTGTCCAATTTTTTTTTTTAATTGTCCATTTTGACAAATCAAGAACGGACAATTTTTTTTACCTTTTATACCTTCAAAAGGGGCCAGCCCAGCCCCACCTGGCCCAAGTCTCACGGGCCAAGGAATTTGAAGGCTAGGGCGGGTTGTCCCTTCCTTTGGAAGAGCCTGAAAATGTTTAACCCAACCCAACCCTACAAGGGCAGCGGGCTGGGGTGGGCTAGCCTTTTTTTTTCATTTTTTTTCTTTTCAAACTTAAAATTCTATGACATCAGAAAAAAAAGATTTCCAAATCAAATATGACAAACAATGGTGTTGTTTCAATAACACTAGCGAAAAATCTAGTGTGATTAGCATGTATCTAGGATACTAGATACGCGATATAGATCTATCTGGTGTGATGCATCCCACAAAAGCGAGCAAGATAAGAAAGTGGCGAGTGAGATGGGAGGAGACGAGGGCGCAGGATTTGTCAATGTATCCTAGATACACGCAAATCCAATTGCATAGAGTATATCTAAAACAAATTACACATAATTTTGAGTCCATGTATCTCGAGATACATGTCTCTAGACACACACAAAACGGGTAAGATTCGTACTATAACAACATAGCGTGGATCTAAGTAATTAGCCCATACACTAGTGAAATTTCTATAACTTACCTTAAAATAAATAGTTTTGGCTCATGGCCAACCCCGGCCCGACCCCGATCAAGCCTCAAGGGTCAAAGACTTATATGGACTGGGCTTATAAACTCTAGTTTTAAAGGGACTTGAAAAATTATATCCAATCCCTACCCCCAACAACAGGTTGGATTAGGCCGGCTCCATAGACTAAGCCCATTTTGACGGCTCTAGTTTTAATATTAGAAAACGACTAAATTGCTACCATGTCATTTCTTCGCAACTGTTGAAAGAGTTGTAATGAAAATATCCATTCTGGCAAGTCGTGGCAAGACTTTAGATCTCCCAATGCAGCTAGTTGTATTTCTTATAAGAGTACTAGATATTGCAGTCGTGCTAGTACGAAAGGCGTATCCAGGAATTCATCAAGATAGGTGCACGAATACGAAAAAAAATGCATCTTAAATATAAATTTGATAAGTTTGACTTTTAGGTTCTTAATATGAATCATTAAATTTTAAAAATTATAGGTCCAAAATATATAATACTATTAGTTTTAAATTTTAATATACACATTTGATTTAATTATATAAAAATCTTATAGTGCAAAGTTTTAGGAACTTCCAATGTAAGGCACTTGAAAATTTGAAAGATTAAAGGAAAAAAAACAAAAGAAAAATTAGTTGAAACGTCAAAAGTATAACAATAACTACTTGGGGAGGTGTTACTCAAAAGGACAAGATAGATATAAGACTTAAATTTTTATCCTTACTTAGAGAGGTGCACTCAATCATTATTGTATTATTATATGATACTTTAAACGTGGGTTCACATATCTATATTTAAATATTTTTTAAAAATATAACACTATTATATATGATCTAGAGAGGAGAGCATGGGTTCACGTGAACCCACGGCACCCCCTCTAAATATGCCCCTGGCTAGTACGAGCCAAATAAATGGTAGTTTAATTTATGTGATATAAATGATATTTAAATGGTTGAGTAAGTTTTTGATATAATTTTAAAGTATTTCAAATTGTTAATTATTGTGATTTATTATATTTTGTATGTATTATTCTTCATGTCTTAATTTATGTGACGCTAACAAAATTTTGAGAGTCAACTAATTTTTTAAAATTTATTTTGTAAATGTTATAAGTTGTTAATTATTACTCCCTCCGTCCAACAATAGTTCACTAAACTAAAAATAATTATTCAAAAATACTTGTTCAATTTAGAAAATCAAACGGATAATGACCTTTTGTGTCTATTTTACCTTTACTATTAATATTATTTATCATCTAACACAATTTTCAAAATATTAAATTTAATAAAGTCAAAGGATAATATAGTAATATTACCCTTATTATTTATTGTTTCTTAAGATGTGTGTCAAGTCAATAGTAGACAATTGTTATTGAGGGAGTATGATCTATAATATTTTCTTACTTAACTTTTAAATATACAACCGAATATTTTAAATTATTAATTATTTTAATTTATAATATTTTTATCATAATTTTTAAATATATAAAAAATAAAAAGAAAAATTACATAAGTAAATCAAAATTGAGATAACATGATGAGATTTTTATGAGTTTACTAAAACAAGTATTGAAAAGAGAGTCCACATTAGCAATCCTGGGCAGTCACGTATGCACACACCAAAGAGATGTGTCAGTCTATTTTCCTCACAAAAATGGAGTGGACCGTCAAAGGATAAAATTGACTCTACATTTAAAAATAGCAAATAAAGTGTATTAAAGGTACAAATCAAGGCAATAAATGCTAGAAATACTTAAATTATGAAAATACCACCAGCAAGCGAAAAAAATTATTCTGTGTGAGGCACATATATTGTCAATTGTGTGAGAGCCTCTTTTGGCAGCCACTTGTATACTGTGGGACCCATAATGTACTTATTCTTTTCTTTACTTTTTTTTCCAATTTTAATCTTCTCTTTTACTTTTTCTTTCTTACTTGCATTTTCTTTTTTCCTTGTTAATTATTAATAGGCGTTTGGCCATGCGATATCATATCACGATATGGTATCGTGAGATAGAATCAACGTCTAGACATGCGATTTTACGTTGATTCTATCTCATGATTCTATATCATGAGATGTGATTCCATATTCTCTAAAAACCATGATATAAAATTATATGGGAATTTCATATCATGATTTGAGATATTTTAATACAAAAATTGATCCACGAGTTTATATTTTGGTAAAACAACCCCACATTTATATCTATTAACCATTTATTTCATATGTAAATTAAATTTATAATCATATCATTACTTTTTAAAATTTATTATTCTCACCGACATAAATTTATGTTCAATTTTTTTAATTAAATTTATTATTGTCCTTACTATGTGGGAGGATTATAGTAAAAACTGGTACACTACAATTTATGTTCAATTTTTTATTATTAAATTAAAGTTAGATGAAACAATTAGTTAAGTGGAGAACAAATAGCTTTGTAATAATTTATTATGCGATTTTATAAATTTTTCTTTATTTGATAAGATTGAATAAGCAATTGTGGCTATTTTAATAGTTTTACCACTTCTGGGATTTTTATGTTTTTGAGAAAATATACAACACAAAAATTTCATATTGCATGTCCAAACAAACTTCAATTTCATCTCATGATACCATATCATGATTCCATATCGCATGACCAAACGGATTGTTAGGGCGACTTTTTGAAGGATGAATACGGTGTACCAACTGCATGGTGGATCGAGAAGAATAAAGGAATGTGTTAGATTGAGAAAGATTTTGATAATTGACAAATAGAGCAACAGATAAAAGGAACCGGTTGCAATGACATGTTCCTTTTAGATCGAATTCGACTGGGATAAGGAGAACGTCAACCGCGCCAATCTGAAGTTATAAAGCGGTGGAAGGGTTGCTTATTCAATAAGAATGCAGTGCAAAAAAGCTTCCTTAAAGAAATCCTAAGCGAAGTAGGAAGCATAATCAAAGTAGGAAACATAAGCAAAGAAGGAAGTAGTGTGAATAAAGATTCAAGAAGGAAATAAATCGAAGCCCAATCAATAGGAAAACTACACGAAGTAGGAAAAAAAGAACATACCACGGGAGCTTCCAAGTTCTACGCAGAAGAGGAAGTCGAGTATGAGTAGGAGTCCAAGTTGAAATAGGTTTTGGATTCAAGTCCAAATCTATAAATAGGGCAATATTTTCTTTGGAGAAACTTGCGCACTTAAACAGAGAGTTACAAGCAGAATACAATCAAATAAATGGAGTTCATATTTGAGTGATTTCTGATTCCGAAGTGTAGCCAACGCAAGAAAACAAGAATTGAAGAATTGATTCATAGGCTTATGTTTTGTAGTTCTTAAGTCAAGTTTTCTTGTATTGAGTTTTTATAGAGTTGTATCTTTAATTCTTTCTAGATCTAGTGAAGTATAAACTGAGAATAGGAATAGAGTCTTCAAGTTGAGGCGACTTAAAAACTTGAGAACATAAACCTTGGGGGTTTGTGTTGGAGTTTAGGAATTAGAGTTAGTTCCTAGGATTGCAAGAGTTGTAATCTGAATTCATAACTTGAAGTGGGTCGACGATCTAGTTGGTTGTCGGCGTCTAGGAATTAGAGTTTATAATTCCTTAGGTTACATAGGTTTGTAATCTTTTGTTGAAGCTCAAAGTTTAATGAAGTAAAGTTTAATCCTACAGAGGTGTAGGTCGTGGTTTTTACCCTTTATGAGCTGGGTTTTCCGCGATAAAATAGCGTGTCATTACTTTATTTGCTTTACATAACGTAACTGTTGTAATCTGCTAAGGAACAGATAGAATATACATGTTCTTTAGAAAAATCTGGGGATCAATATTCCAACAATTGATATCAGAGCGGGTTATCTTTGTAGAGTCTAATAACTTAAGATAAGATCACTATGAATTATGCACCTCCTCTTGGACACAGTAAAGGTCAACACATCAACATACCACCACTATTCAATGGACATTACTATGCATGGTGGAAGGCGAAAATAGAGGATTTTATACAACCCCATGACTATGAATTATAGATGAGAGTTATTGATGGTCCTCTTATTCCTATGATGAAAGATGATGAAGGGAAAGTCATTCCAAAACCCAAGGCTCACTATGGAGAAGTTGATTATAGAATGCTCGTAAAAAATGCTAAAGCTAAGTGCATCCTTGTATGTGGACTTGGACCTGACGAGTTCAATCACATTTCTAGTTGTACTACATCGAAACAAATTTGGGACACACTAGTCAATGTACATAAAGGAACTTCCCAAGTAAGAAAATTTAGAATTGCTAGACTATCATCTGAATATGAAGCATTTAAGATGGAGAGTGGTGAATCACTTCAAGATATGATTACTAGATTCACTACTACTGTGAATGAGCTGGTGTCTTTGGGAAAGATATATACTACCAAGGAACAGGTGGATAAAGTGCTGAGGACTCTACCTAAGTCGTGGGAGATCAAGATCACTTCAATTAGAGAAGCAAAGAATTTGACAACCATAAGCTTGGATGAACTTGTAGGAAATCTAAATACTTATGAGATGAATGTTGATAACACAAAAATGAGTAAAAGAAGCAAAGATATGATTTTTTCTTTCAAGGCAACTAAGAGTGATGAATCTGATCTGGATGATGAGGACATAGCCGTGATCAACAAAAAACTCAGAAAGCTCCTCAAGAAAGGTGGAAACTATGAGAAAAAATTGCCCCCGATTTTTGTTGACATTGTTATGTATGCTGCTTGGGGAATAGGTTCAGACAACTCAATTGAAGAAGATATAAAAGATGTTGCTTTGATGGCCATGGAGGACTCTGAATCAGACATTGAGAAAAAGGAGGTAAATCTTCTTGACCTTAAAAATAAACTAAAATGTTTTTCAAAGAAAAAATTATCTTCCATTAATCTAACTCTGATAGATAATTTTCAAGAGTTGAATGAAAATAAAGATCAATTATTGACTTCCTTGACCAGTTTAAAATTTGAATATATTGATCTTGAAAAAATTAATTCTGATCTAAAGAAAGAAAATCAACTCCTAAAGGAACAAGTACAACAACTTGATTCCTGCACTTTGGCACTCAAATCTAAAATTTTGAAACAAAGTGTTACTGGGAATGAAAAAGAAAAAAATAGTGGTGACCAAATCAGATGTGACCAAGATCTAAAGAGGTTAAAAGATGAACTATTTTCTGAAAGAGAAAAATCTAAAAGAATAAATCTTGACATGTCTTAGAACTAAGTATGAGCTTGAGAGGGCAAACAAATGGACTCAGTCCTCAATGATTGTAACTCAGCTCAGTAATAGAACACATAACACTAAAGCTGAAATAAGTTTTGTTAAAGAAGTCCCAAAGAAAACCTTTTATTTGTGCACACATTATGGTAGTATTGGTCACTCAAGGGGTACATGCCCAATAGTTATAACTTACATGAATAAAAACTTCAAAGCTGCCTCAAATAGAAAAATCAACCTTGTTAAAAAAAAAAGAATCACGTCAAAGGAACATGTTGGAGCAAAAGAAAAAAATTAAAAATATATTACCAATATGGATCAATAGAGATCTCATTCATCATTTTCATCAATAAAAAGGACCCAAGCTAGTCTGGGTTCCTAAATCTAACCTTTGAATTTGTAGGAAAAGTGAGAGGAAGCAAGCAACATTCTATATGAACACCTGTTGCTCGAGACACATGATTGAAACTAGAAGAAATTTCTCTCACCTGCAGAAGAAAAGGATAGAATGGTAGTTTTTGTGGTGAAAATTCTTTTTGGTCAAATCAAAGAAGTCGAAAAAGTAGGCAAGACTAAAGAAACACTTTTAAAGGAACATGTTGGAACTTGGGGATGATTAAAATCACAGGAATATCCTTCAGTGGCTAATGAACATTGCGCATACTGCCTTCTAATCATAAATTTTATGCTTAGTCTTGTACATTTAGTTGTATATCTCTATACCACTTTTAAAGTCAAGCTAATCATGCACTATAACATTGTATTTGCATCTGTCACAAGAGAGAGACTTAGTAAAATTGGAGCAAAAATCCAGCATTTTCCAGAGATCTAAGGTATGTGCACTACAATTATTCATAATTAAATATATAATCAATGCACATGTACCTGTTCATTCAACTTGTCCCAAAAGATATATTCATGTCCTCAATACTAATAAACAAACATTTTCTTAAAAAGCCTTATCCTAGTGTGTCTCTACAACTCACACTCTTCTCTTCCATAAACTTCTTAACCAAGAAATCCTCTTTTCTAAAATTGTGGAATAAAGTGTTCTTCAAGAAACATGTCTATGCTTGATTAATTACAATTTATGTTTCTTAATGACATTCTTGGAGATTCTAAGTGTGATGGTCTATCTGATGTTTTGGTTGAGATGACTTTGGTGGATGACACCTCTACTTTGGTGCCTTGTAAAATATAGATTGTGGCGTAGAAAGTAGGTTGTACTGGTTTTTAGGGGGGATTTGTATTGGGTGTGTCTAAAATTACTGAGGATGTTTTGGAGGATGTACCTTGTGAGGGGAAATATTTTAGGGACCCTACAGTTGAACAAAGTTCAATTGTTAGGCTCAACTTGAGTGTATCTAGTGAAGGGGAATCAATGGAAGACCCTTTTGTCGAACCTAATTCTTTAATTGGGATCCATATAAACTGAGATTTAGGGTTGATGTAAAAAATTATTATAATTGGTGTTGCACCTGATAGTACCACGTCTAGGGAACAGATTGGGAGAACATGTTCTTCTACAAATGATGCTAAAGAAAATTTATTCCTCTTACTCACTATTGAAATTAAAGATGACTCTATTGAAATTAGAGTTGTAAACTTTGGGAAGCGGACAATGCTCTTAGGCAAGGTGATTACTGATTTTAGGGGTTAGAGATGAGTGAATTATTGTTTCTCCGAAGATTGAACCAGTTCCTTAAAGATGATACAAAACGGAAAAAAATAAGCTAAAATTGAAGTCATATGTGTCACTCACCAGAATGTCATGGACCAGCTGCATATGAACTATGATCTTAAACATGTAGGCCTGCTAAAGAAAAATAAAAAGCTCAAGGTTGAGCTTGCATAGACCAAGGCTACCTTTGAAATTGAGAAGACTACTAATTTTATTAATTCAAAGATGTTTGTTGTGCTGCTGAAAAAGGACTTTATTTTACCCTCTCATGCCCGATCTTGTGATATTGCCTAGCAACTCTAGCCTTTGACCTTCCAATTTTTCCCTCATCACAAGTGCTTGATTCTATATTTAATTTTGATTACATTTGTGGTGTATATGATTTTTGATTAATGCTAATGTTGGGTTTGAGTTTCTGGTTCATGTCTATCTCCTATGTTTGTGCAAATACTTTTCTATAGCTAACTAAGTTCTTCATTTTTAAGTGTTTGTGTAGGTGATAGCCTCAGTGGCCATGAGTATCGAATTTGCTTCTCTTAGTGTGGTGTATGCCTTCACAGTGTTTTATGATGTCAAAAGGCGGAATTGCATACTTGTGTAATATTTATAACCCAATTGGTCTAACTTGATCCTCTAATGTGTTTGCTTTGTGTATTGAGTTTTAAGAAACTGACATAAGACAAATTGATCTATTCACGCAAGAAGCAATGGTCTGTCATCATAAGAAATAGGGGATTTGTTAGATTGAGAAAGATTTTGATAATTGACAAATAGAGGAACAGATGAAAGGAACCGGTTGCAACGACATGTTCCTTTCAGATCGAATTCGATTGGGATAAGGAGAACGTCAACCACGCCAATTTGAAGTTATAAAGCGGTGGAAGGGTTGCTTCGACAAGAAAGCAGTGCAAAAAGGTTTCCTTAAAGAAATCCTAAGCAAAGTAGGAGGCATAATCAAAGTAGGAAACATAAGCAAAGAAGGAAGTAGTGTGAATAAAGATTCAAGAAGGAAATAAATCAAAGCCCAATCAAATAGGAAAACTACACGAAGTAGGAAAAAAAGAACATACCACGTGAGCTTCCAAGTTCTACGCAGAAGAGGAAGTCGAGTATGAGAAGGAGTCCAAGTTGAAATAGGTTTTGGATTCAAGTCCCAATCTATAAATAGGGCAATATTTTCTTTGGAGAAACTTGCGCACTTAAACAGAGAGTTACAAGCAGAATATAATCAAATAGAGGGAGTTCATTTTTGAGTGATTTCTGATTTCGAAGTGTAGCCAACGCAAGAAAACAAGAATTGAAGAATTGATTCATAGGCTTATGTTTTGTAGTTCTTAAGTCAAGTTTGCTTGTATTGAGTTTTTATCGAGTTGTATCTTTAATTCTTTCTAGATCCAGTGAAGTATAAACTGGGAATAGGAATAGAGTCTTCAAGTTGGGGCGACTTAAAGACTTGGGAACATAAACCTTGGGGGGTTTGTGTCGGAGTTTAGGAATTAGAGTTAGTTCCTAGGATTGCAAGAGTTGTAATCTGAATTCATAACTTGAAGTGGGTTGACGATCTAGTTGGTTGTTGGCGTCTAGGAATTAGAGTTTATAATTCCTTAGGTTACATAGGTTTGTAATCTTTTGTTGAAGCTCAAAGTTTAATGAAGTAAAGTTAAATCCTACAGAGGTGTAGATCGTGGTTTTTACCCTTTATGAGCTGGGTTTTCCGCGATAAAATATTGTGTTATTACTTTATTTGTTTTACCTAACGTAACTGTTGTAATCTGCTAAGGAACAGATAGAATATACATGTTCCTTAGGAAAATCTGGGGGTCAGTATTCCAACAGAATGGTTCAACAAGAAGATGGATCTTGGATTCTCATCGATCATGAGACTTAATTTCGAGAGAAATCAATGAAGGATGAAACTGATCCATCATGTGCTGGTAATGAGCATATGTGAACCACATATTTTATGTTAAATCGCGCATCATTTTCATATTGAATAAAGGGGATTTGAATTGATTGAGTAATGTCAAATTAGGCAGAGCAGTGGGTCATCTTCCACCTCATGTAACAAGGATAGGTTTGTCTATTCTTCTTTTGTATTGTATGTAAGGTAGTTGTTTGCATAGAATGTTAAGTAAAGTGGATGCATTTGATTAATTAGGATTCTTGATTGAATGAATACTGTCAAGACCCATGTTGAAGTGATTATTACAGTACTTGCCTTGCCAAAATTTGCAGGCCTTAGGTTAGCATCAAACTCGGGTATACTGGGAATTAAAGTCCAATAATATTATAATGACAATAACAAATTAAAGACAATTATAGTGTGTTACAGAAAATAAATTAAAGAAACACATAGAAGGGTTGGTCTAAAACAATATTTAGATATTTGTGTGGTTGTAAATCATTTCATTAAGGATAAAAGTGAAATTTTAAAGTTAAAATATTTCTAATTATAGCAATGTGATATTCCTTTTAGATGGATTGAAAATTAAAGGATGCTATATAAAATGAAACACATGAGTAAATATTTAATTTCAATCAAATACTTATTTTAATACACATCTTAATGCTCAAGTATTCATTCAATTAACTATGTTATTTCTTCCGTTTCATATTAATTGATCACTTTCTTTTTTACACACATATTAAAAATCATAAGACTCAGAATATTATTCTTTGTCTCAACTCTCTCTTTCACCACACTAACTCATTATATACACAATACAACACTTCTCATATTTGGCAAACACTCTATCTCATTTCTACAACACAAAGTAAGTCCACACTATTGAGGAATTTTTCCTTGTAATAAAAAATAAGATAATTGATAGTAAATTGGGCAAATGAATAACCCAAAGATTACATAAGTTACAACCATACTAATATAGAATAATGGGTGAATAATGAGTTAAAGGTTACAAGAGTTATGGAAAATTATAGCCACATTTTACCATATTAACTCATGTGAGTAATTGTCATGAAATATTGTCATTACTCACGTACAGAGTCAATGCAGCAAATTAAGATTTATGCACCATTAAGGTACATGAGTCACTTTAATAATTTTAATAATATTAAAATGCTCACAATCACCAACAATCCCCCACTCATTTTAATATTAAGTTAAGAGAGTACTTCACTATTTTGTTGAAGGTAGACTATCGTGCATAATGAAGGTGTGCTCTGCATTGAACCTTCACTTAATAAAACAATAAGTTTTACTCTAGAGTCAGTAGTGGTCTCAGACTTGAACTATGACTGCGTTAGGGAAATAAAGTATCATTGCTTACATATAACTATCAAGGTGTTGACATAAGCTTTAATAGCCAGCATATTATGTCCTTGTGCTATCCCGATTTCATGAGTGTTTTTGAGAACAAGCTCATTCTCATAGAAAGCGACCTACTTTCACACTCACTTAGGTGAAATCTGTCGAGAATGCTCCTATAATTTGACACCCGAGATACATCCTTTCATTAAGAGTTCAAAGATTCAACCTCAACAAATCATTATAGGATAAATACACTTACATCATAGGGATTGAATAAAATTGATAATAGTGCATTTCACAACAAGTTATCATATGATTCGTTCTTCCCATTGAATTTGGTTATAGAATCTCTAGTCCCCAGTTTGGGTTTCCTCATATATAATTTAGAATATATTTTTTTAGCTTCAATTTCATCCCCCACGATGTGCTTCAGACTCTTTATCTTGCTAAGGCCTTAGATTATTAATCTGCAAGATTATCACAAATTTTAACACAATTAATATTGATGGTATACCAGTGATCGATATGATCTCACAATATTGTGTTTTTTCCTCTTGAGCCTGAATATACCATTTTAGTAACAATTTTTTTTACTCTACCATTATATTGGTGATATCACAATTAATCAAAATTAGAAAAAATAATTTCTCAAAATAAAGTGTTTGATATAGTAAAATCAATTCACTTTTTCACTAGTTGAAGTTTAATTTTTTGTACTTCCTCCTCCCTAATAGAATTAGCAAAAAATAATTTGCTTTTCTCATTCCAAAAAATAGCACCAAGTTTTCTCATTTGCATCAACAAAACTTTTAAGTATAGCATAATATATTTTTTTTCATAAAACAAGCCACCAAATTTCGTATCAAGTAAATTTACTTGATTTGCTTGTACATGCTACTTTATACACAATATCATATAAAGTACAATTAGTCACATATCTCATATTTTTTATTAGACTAGCAAACTCCTTCTTTCTTTGTCACCCCATTTTCACAATTGAATCAAAAGGAGTTGCAAGACCACACAACCAATAAGATTGTATTTCACAATTTTTTCAACATTATATGACTTGACAAGGAAAATTTCATCACATGTTTTATGGTATTTTTTCTTTCCAAGAATGATTTTTTTTTTCTCTCCCAAAACATTTCATGTTAAATGGCTACTTAACATGTTTTTCATAATTTATTTATGACTCTCATGTTAGAGCTAAAATCATCTCATTATAGCCAAACAACAACATGTGATTTATTCCACAATAAATATATATATGCACCTGCAATACCCTTTTTAGAGCATTTCTCAAAGATGCAAAAAACACTTATTACACAAAGACTTCTTTTCTCATTTCATGAGCCCCACCATTTTAAGAATTTAAATATCATTTTTTCATGAAAAGTATTATCATTTCATTCATGAAAATACTAGGTAATTTTTTTTTCTACCTTTTCTCCACTTGAATTTAGCAAGTAGAAAAATAATTTACCATACACCTCTTCTCTTCCATCTCTTGAAGAGAGCGACGTTGAGCGAAATTGTGTTGAGATACCTATCTTGATATCCGCACTTTTTCAAACTGTAACAAACACATGAATCTCCTTAAAATTGTTGGTGTAATATACCACAAATAATATAAATTACAATTGAAAATAAAATGACAAAAAATGAATAAATAATATTTAGGTTGAGGCGCGGATATCTCGCTCTCTTTAAGGAGATTCAAACCCACTGCGACATAATCTACACCACACTGCGGCATAGTGAATATAGTTGAAGACTTAGAATATTATTCTTTGTCTCAACTCTCTCTTTCACCACACTAACTCATAATATACACAATACAAAAGAGAGTATTTATATATGTTGAAGGAAGGTGTTCTTTTGTGGAGCTTTGAACTCTTCAACTAATCCGGAGTTGTTTTAGTTGTACGACATTGTTGGACTGTTGTATCTTGAAGGGGACAAGTCGAGTGATATTGTTGGATTGGTGTAAATTATACCGCAGTGGGCTTGAATCTCCTTAAAGAGAGCGAAGATATCCGCGCCTCAGCCTAAAGATTATTTATTCATTTTTGGTCATTTTATTTTCAACTGTAATTTATAATATTTGTGGTATATTACACCAACATAAATAAGAAGATAATTTTACTAATTCACCCCTTAAAAAACTTCTTGGAAAGTTTATAACAAATGTAAGCAATTAAAACAATAATTAATTGCAAAGGCAATATAGGAAAAATTCAACTAATGTTTTCTTGATTTAGTAAGATGGACAATTAATATAAGACAATTATTTTTAATAAAATGATCAACTAATGAAATGGAG